AGAGTCTTGCGTTAATGTGGCGCTGTCAGTACAGGGTATGTCTAAAACCTAATGACTTTTGAGCTAGAAAATGAGCAGATTAGAGAGAAGTACACATATGGGGAAGACATATGCTACTGGAAAATCGCCAAGAAACCGAGGAGCATGAGGGTTAGAGAAGCTGACATGGAACTCCCTCCAGACCCAAGGGAAAGAGAGCCCTCCTGCAGGGCTGCTGCCCGAAATTCAGACTTCCACCCTCCTGAACTGTGAGAAAACAAATGTCTGTTCTTTAAAACCACCGACTAGTGGTATTTCTGTCACAACAGCACTTAGAAACTAAGACAGGAGCAAGACAAGGATATCTGACATGCTCTAGGGAAACAGTGACATGTGGGTGAGATACCACACCAACAGCTGGCTGGAAGTGGTTCCCAAATTCGACACTAGATGGCGCCGCACTCCTTTCGACGATGCTCTGCCTTTGTGAACCTGGGAGCTCAGCAGTTGCTGTGATAACCCAAAATGTTACCTTAGGGGGAAAAAATGGGCAGAGTGAGCGAGTACCCTCTCTGTCTTCTTTCCTACAACTGCAGTGAATCTCCAATTATCCCAGTACGATTTTCCACTCAAAAAATTAACCAGTACTGCACAAAAGTCAAGGTGGGTCAAGAAATGGGGGTGGCAGTGTGCAAGGGTTGAAAAGCTGTGCAGCGCCTGGCTGGCACACACATCCGGTGGGGAAGCAATGTGGGTTTTGTAAATCAAATACAATCTTTCAGCTGCTAACAGAAAGGTGGGTGGATTGAACCCACCTGCTGCTCGGTAAAAGAAAGATGAGGCACTCTGCTTCCGTTAAGATTGACAGCCTTGGAGACCCTGTGGGTGCAGTTCCACTCTGTCCTCTAGGGGCGCTGTGAGTCAGAATCGACTCCACAACAGTAGGTTTGGTTGGGACTTTGCTTCTGTGAAGATTGACAGCCTTGGAAACCCCGAGTGCAGTTCCACTCTGTCCACTAGGGGCGCTGTGAGTCAGAATAGACTCCACGGCAGTGGGTGTGGTTTGGGCTTTGCTTCTGTGAAGATTGACAGCCTTGGAGACCCTGTGGTGCAGTTCCACTCTGTCCCCTAGGGGCGCTGTGGGTCAGGCCTGGCAGTCTTCTTCAGACAGGTCACAGCCTTGAAAACCTACTCTGATCACGTGGGGTCACCATCCGTCTGAACGGACTTGACAGCAACGAACAACGTTAATTTTCTACGTGCATAGCACACAACCACAAACTTGTCATTGTTGTTGTGAGGAACGATTGAGTCAATTTAAAGTCATACCGACCCCATGTGGCTGAGAACTGCCCCCACGTGACTTCAAACACCAGCCATGGATTATTTCACAGTTTTCATGCTCAGGAGCCTGGACACAGAGTAGCTAGTGACCTGCTCAGGTGTCACAAAGCTGGGATCAGAGTGTTGGCCGGAGCTACAGGCGCAGCTGACACTCGGGGTCCTCTCCCCAGCTCACGTGGTTGTTGGCAGAATTCAGTTATTGAAGCCCTCGGCTCCTAGAAGCCACCCCCAGTACCCTGCCACGTGGCCCGCTCCACAACACGGCAGCTTCCTTCTTCAAGGACAGTAGGGCAGCATCTTTTTCTTTTCTTTTCTTTTTCAAATTGTCATTTGGGTGAAAGTTTACACAGGAAATTAATTTTCCATACAGCAGTTCACATACACTTTGTCTCATGACATTGACCACAATTCACC